AACTTACTAGCTCTTTAGAGGTAAGTAAATCCAATGTTTATTAAATTTACTTACAATGACTTAGAAGGCCAGAATTAAAATAATTTATTCTCTAACTTTTGTACTAGGTAAATTTGTCAAGTGTTTCTTGAGTGACTAGTATATAACTAGATGTTAAGATATAGGCAAAGACAACATCCATTCTCTTAATCAGTGCACAGTCTTCTTGGGGAAACAGAAACATCTAAAATACTACACTGCTTAACTTATGCTTTGGACTAGAATCAGCTGAACCAGCTGAAAACCTTCTCTGACTGACCTTGGCAATCAAGTTCAATTTTCTTCAAATTCAGTTTGTGGCATTTTCTAAATTCTTTTTTTTTTAATCGGTACCAGGGCTCAAACTCACGACCACCTGCTGGCAAGGCAAGTGCTTATGCCACTGAACTAAATCCCCAGCCCTATTTTCTAAATTCTTAATGACTATGGCTACTACTTTAATGAAACCCACATATATGTAACTATTAAAACTCCAAGCACGGCCATGTAGCTGAAAAATTGTGGGTGGAGTAGAAGACAAAGAAAGGAAGACGCAGTTTCACTGAGGTTCATTTCCTACTCTCCGAAGTAAAAAATATGACTCAGAATACTGGGAGATTCGAATAATATGGACGAAATTGGTAAGAAACAGCATTTGCAGAAATACTTCTCATGGCATTTTAATAGCTGAATTTATACTGTTGAAAATGACTACCACACAACAGAGAAAATATCACACAGGAAAAATTATTTTTATGCATAATTCAGATTAGTGGAGATCACAGAGAAGAATGCTCAAAGGCAAATTTTTATGAAGAATTCATTAGACATCACAAAACTGCCACTCAGATTTTATTATAGAAAAGATAATGGGGGAACTAGGAATGCATGTTTTATTTATGGACTAAAAAACTACTTTGAAGAAAAAGAGACACTACAGTAGCCAGTGCTGATCCAGGAGTGTCATAATGTGAAACCCAGCAATACTATTATTCTTTGTTCAGAGTGATTTTAGCCTGCTTTGGTTTGTTTAATCTTAACATACATAAAGATATGGCTAACTGCATGTAGTTTAAGTGTATAGGATTATTAACCATATTACTAAGTTCTTGTTGGATAGTTGAACAGAACTATTTGCAGTCTTGCTGTTTGAATGTCCACTTTGTATGCTTCACTTTTGTAACTTGAACAACTATTTGTAAGAACAATATGTAATTATCAACTAGCAATTTCTTACTGCTTATTTTTTCTTTGAAATTATGTATTATTTCTACCCTTTTTCTGTTTTGTTTATTCTCTCTTTAAATAAAATTTTAAAAAATAAAACTATACCAGCAAGGGCGGGGAATACAGCTCAGTAGCACAGCACCTGCCTGGTAAACACAAAGTTCTGAGTTCAACTCTTAGTACAAACAACAAAAAACAAACAAACAAAAACTATGCAAAGAAGAAGTTAAAAGGATGGTAACCTAAGACTGCCTGAGGTCATGAATGACTGATTTTATGACATAGTTTGAGCACATGGCAGAAGCAACAGAGAGACAGCCTAATTTTCTACTAAAGGCATGAATTTTGTTTCTTATATTAAAGAAAATGCCCTCTAAACCACCATAAACCTTAAATATTACCCGGAATTTCATCTTCCTGCTTTTTTTCTCACTGCTTACTTTCTCTGAGGTTTCTTAACCAACCCCAGCTTCATTCACAATGTATATAAATGGTTATTAACTTTTTCAAGTTAAGAAATTCCTTTGAGAATTTGATTAATGCTAACGATCCTTCAGAACAACATACATACACACATATATTTTTACATCAAATTCAAAACTCAAAAACCCTCTGTCAAGTCTACGGCCTCAGATTAAGAAGTCTCTCTATATATGCTAACGGCTCAGGAATCTGTATCTTCAGTCTAAGGCTGCTTAAAAATACACAACATAAAGATGCTTACAGTATGAAAGAGCGACGACTACGCAGTGGAGATGGGTTTCCTTTTGGGGTAATGAAAAGTCCTACAACTACATAATGGTGATGATTGTGCAACACTGTGAATGTTCTTATTGTCACTGAATTGTATGCTTTCAAATGGTTAAAATGAAACATTCAGCTGAGTGTGGTGGTGCACACCTGTAATCCTAGCAATCCAAGAGGCTGAAGCAGGATAGCAAGTTCAAGCCCAACTTAAGCAATTTCAGAACTTAGCGAGACCCTGTCCCAAATATAAAATAAAAAACAGCTAGAGATGCAGTTCAGTGCAAAAGTCCTTAGGTTCAATCTCCAGTGCTGAAATTAATTTTAAAAGGCTGGGGATATAGCTCAGTGGGAAGGTCCTGTAAATCCCAAGTACCCCCCCCCCACCAAAAAATAAAGGAAAACTGTACATAATGTGTACTTATCAGAATAAAGAAATGCACATGTTCAAAACTAATCATCATCTCTATTCCCCACTTCTCACATACCCCAAATCTGTGATTCCTTATATTTCCTGTCTTCAGGTATCAGTTTAAGTGTTACCATACCTACTTGTCTAAGTCAGAAACCCAAGATTCCTCCTTGACAATGCTCTTTCATTGTCCCCATCTTGTAATTAACCATGAAGCTCTGTATATTCTCCCTCATTAATGAAGAATTAAGGTGGAATAATCGTCCACTTCTCTTATTCTCACATCTTTGATAGTGGCCACATTTCTCCTAATTTCTGGTCTTGCATTTGCCCACTCTTCACCACAAACTCCATTTGGCAATCATCATCTACTGAGACTGATCTCTCAAAAATGCTTTTCTGGGGGCTGGGGATTTAGCTCAGCGGCATAAGCGCCTGCCTTGCAAGCAGGCAGTTGTGAGTTCGATCCCTGGTACCGATGAAAATGAAAAAGACACACAAAAAAATGCTTTTCTGGAGGAGGTGGGGGGGTGGGCAATACTGGGGATCCAACTCAAGACATCACACATGGTAGGCAAATGTTCCATTATTGAACTACATACCCAGCCTCCAAAATGCTATCTTTGGTTATTCCTTTTGCTTAAAAACTTACCATGTTCAGGATAAAATGTAAATTCCCCATCACAACCTGGTACCTGTTTATTTTTCTAGTCTTATCTCTCTTAGCATTTTCCTACCCCAAATCAACTCTCCAGTGACACAAACTACTTGCAATTCCCAGAACATCACCAACTTCCTTCCTTTGCAGGGGAGTACTAAGCATCAAACTCATGACCTCTTACTTGCCAAGCAGGCACTTGTGCTGCTGAGCTAAATCCCTGGCCAACATCCTTCCTTTTTATTCCAAATGTACATACTACTTCAAATGCCCAAACTCCATTTCTCTCTTTTTAGACCTGGTTAAATTTTATTAAGACCAAGTTGACACCCCCTCTGATGTCCTCAAGATGGGTCAAATATGCTTACCCTCAGTTCTGTATTCTGACATTGACATCTTAACTAAAAATGTCTTTTTCTTCATCAGGCCACACTAACCTCAAGGTTAGAAAAATACATATATCAACATATCTCCAGGGTCTAAAACAATGCCTAGCATATAGTATATTCCAAATCAATGCTTTTGAATGAACAAGTTAATTATTTAGTGCGTGATAGGAACCCTGATGTTAGAAATTACACTGTAGAATTTTCCAATGACTTCTTGCCTTACTCTCATTAAAAATTAGTCATTACAATGGGCTTCCAGGTCTATTTTATCCCTTATATTCCTCTTTATGTACTCAATTTCAGCCACATTTTGAGACTCTGACTGGAAAAGGTATTTTGGTCAAAGAGCCATTTTGCATGTAAGAAAGAACTAATATATACTGGCTTTTGTACAGATTAGGCACTTTTCATATCAGAGTCCTCATATCACCTAGGACAAAGGCAGCACCATTTCCATTACACGAACAAGGAGACTTACATGAGATTTTGAATTTGAACTGAGGAAAACTTCTTGGAAAGAATCCATACTGATGACTTTTCTTTCCTTAGATAACTTGTATGTGCTTTATCCTGTTTGTGATTCTATCCTTTCTCATTGCCAAGCTCTCTTTGCCCTGTTCTAGGAAGCTGACTTCTATAGACTACATCACCCAGAGTCCTTTGCCCTTAGACTGCTGTTTGGGTGCCCTTAGACTAGCTGGAAACTTAAGTGCACAAGGAAAAAGATAGAACATTTGCTCCCTTGCCTTGTCCAACTTCTTGCAGTGGCTGCTTAGCATTTTATGGCCATAACCCTTGTCTGATGGTCTCTCCCAGAGTTGTAGATGGGCTTTGCTAACAAACCTCTTCCTTCCCTTTCAGACGTAGAAGTGCTACTACTGACTCCACACTTTTGGCAGCGCTTGTGTTTAACTATTTATTTTTAGTCCCTTTAACTTTGACCAGGTCTCAGCATCTAGCCCTTTGTGGGACTGTAAGCTAATATTCACATTTTAAAAAAATTGTAAACCTTCATTTTAAAAATGTGAACTCTACTTTTTCTCTTTTTAACAGCTACTAATTCAGATCTGCAAGCATGTTGGAAACTATGACAAGAATTTTACTTCTCTCTGCCCACACAGGCTTCCTTCTCCTTAAGAGAGAGGGAATCATAGCAAACATGCCATTTCCAAGTCAAAGATAGGACAAAGTTTGCCTTCTGAATCCGGACAGAGCCAGAAAAGATAGTTTTCCCAGTTAACAGGATGTGCCGCGGCTTGGGATGTGAAGATAGGCGTTTCTTGGGGTAGACAAACGTGAGCCCTCTGGGAGTTACCTAAGGTCTAAAGAAGCCCTCTGCTGGGTATTTGGACAGATACCTTCTTCGGGAGTGTCTGGGAAACCCGTGCACTCGAGGCACGCGAGGAGCGGACAGTGACTGCGCGGAGTGTGGGAGAACAGTTCTTAAGAAAGCAAGGGGATGGACAGCCACAAGAAGAGGGGTCCACAAGGAGTATCAGGAGAGTGACAGTAGTCTCTCCCGGGGCGCCCTCTCTGGACGTCTCCTGCTCACCTTCCGCACAGGGCCATCCTCTCCGCCGACCTCCATCTTAACGCACGTTGCCGCGCCGACGTCGAAGACCCGGCGCAGACCACGACAACGCCCTGACCCGCGAGCCGGGCGTGGCCACGCCCCCCTCACCACGCGCCCTCTCCCGCCGGAACCCTGCGGCCGCGCTCGGCTCAGCTTTGGAGGACCTGAGCACCCCTAGGGGATGGAGATGAAACACCCTACCTTTGAAGAAGCAGAGAGGACTGTACCAAATGCGGAGGGAGCGCTGTGTGGGAGTCCTCTAGATGTCAGAAGTTAGGAAGGGCAGAGAGCTGCCAGACACTCCAGCAAGGGACAGGAATGTGAAAAAGGTCCCAAGGAGTAGTGAGGGGATTGTAAGGACAGGGCTCGAGACAGCTGCAGGATGGAGTGCGGAGTGGTTTTGCGGTCCTGGAGTTTGCCCACAAACAGCTTTAACAGGAAAGTTATCAACACAGGGGTGAGAAGGGCGGGCAGAGAATATAGGTAGGTGAGTGGGCCAGGGAAGGCAGATTATCACAGTAATCTAGAGGAGAGGGGCTAAAATATCCACCTACAGTAGTGGGAACTGAGGTGAGACAGTGGATTCCGACAGGAAATTTTGATGTAGAAATGACAGTGTTTTGAGAGAGGAGGGGGAGGAAAAGGAGGAAATTTTAAATGACAAATTCTGAGAATCAAATTATCAGGCAAATGGAAATAGAGCTACTTCCCTAGGTGGTGATAGTGCAGGCTGAGTGAGTTGTGAGATCTTTCTTGCTTCAGTTTTTCTAATTCCCATGCCTGGAGGCTTCATTTTTTATCTTATTTCCGTCCCATTGGGAGTTTTTCTGGTGCAGCTCTTCTTTCTTGAATGCACAGTAAATGAAATGCCAGTGTGTGTTCCTAGGCATAGCCCCCTCTGTGCTGTCCCGCAGCCCTAGCTCTCTACTAACCCGTGAAGGCAGTCTCTCCCAAGCAGGTCCCTCCCTGCCTTGTCTCACAGCCCAGAATGTGGTTTGTCCTAGCGATCCTAAGCAAAGGAGAGAGGAAGTGGGTATTTCTTTTCACTGGCACACATCTTCTCCATCCGGACCTTTTACAGTGAGCTGGTATTCTAGGCCCCAAGACTCTTAAGTCAGATTGGTGATCTTGGGTGAAGACCACAATGCAGCTGTTCTGCCGGGTGCCCATTGTGAACAACTTCAGGCTCTGTCACTTGGCTGGCAGGAAGTGGGGACAGGGAGGAAAAGGAAGCGTCAAGCAGCCAAGGACCACTGGACCAATGGCTACCATTATATATGACAGTCATTTCTATGGTTTCCACACTTGCACAGAATTACCAGACCCTGAAGGCTGTTAGAAGATAATTTATTATAGACTAGCCTATAATCTCTTGTAACAATGGCACATACAATTAAAAACAGCAAAGATGCTTGGTTCTGGTTTCATATATTGGCCAGTACAGCTATGAGCAATGCTGCACCCTCAGAAGTTTAAGAGGCTGTCATCAAGGACCACATCTCAACTCTGAGTGAGGGTCTGGGAGGCCCAGTTTGTTGCTGACCACCCAGGAAGTACTGGGTGCCACCCCTTCCACCTAGCCTACACAGAGGTATCAGAGTCAAGCTCCTTCTATAGGGCTGGACACCTCTGAAGAGAACAGCAGCTGACCCAGATGACAGGAAGAGAGGACAAAGGCCGGATTCCTTCTACAAGGAGGACAGCCAGAAGGTAGTGGGCATAGGTGAGCATGACTCTAGGCTAGTTCCATCATTTTTGAGTTTGTTCAGGGCCTTCCCCAGAAGTAAATACTCCTGGATCCTTCATTGGGCCTCAAGTCTATACATATAAGAACAGCCTTTAATGTTCTAAGCACATTCTAAGTCTTTAATGTCCTCTGCCGCCTATAGAAACAAAGCAGGGAGAGTCTGGGTACCCAAGGAATATTCTGCTGAGAGCTCTGAAGCACCACATGAAACTGGTTTACCCATGACAGATATAACCTGAGGGAAGGGATTAGCACAGCTCAATTTCAGAAGGTAGCTTATTCCATTTCAAAGACTTGTTCTCATTGGAGCCACATAAAACTAGTGGATTCTGCTCAGAGGACAGTGAGTTCTATTCTATATGGTTCTGCCCTGGCTATTCTCTAATGTAGATCACCAGGTTTAGAAAGACCCTTAGGTTCAAACAGTTATCTAGCCAGCCAGGTCCAAGCTCCAGGCTATCTGCACCGGTTCTCCTAGTGACTGGTGTCTGCCTAACCGGGCATGGTGTGGCTTGAGAAGGGTAAAGATGGTAAGGAGTGTGGAGACGCGTCTACTAAAAATGGCTGATCCTCTCTGAAATCTCTGTCCTTCTCCCTTTTTGGATCCCTTTTTGGAAAGTCTCTCCATGTGGTGGCGCCCACAGCCCAGCTCCTAGTACCATAGGCCTGCTGGTTAGGGATTCCTAGTCTTTCTGTGAAAAGCCACACTCTCAGCTACCTCCTAAATTTCCCTTAAATACCCTCAACCGAAGGGGTCAACCTCTTAACTGTAAAAACTCTATGCTGCCTACACAGATCACTCCCCTAAGCTCTGATTTGCACCATCAGTGCCACCTGTCTGGCACATGAGTCACAGATGTTCAGCTCCCCTCCTCTGTGCAGCGAGACTCTGATTTGAGTTTCACAAACTCTCGGGCGACCTCGTCATTGCTCCTCTGAGACAGAATCCGGAGAATGGTCATGCCTGTCTCATCCATGTGGATCTTCCGGCCTAAGGGGCACCAGCAGGCACAGCTGCCCTTGGCTGCCACGTCTCTCAGAGGCATCACTGCCAGCCCTAAGACGCGATCCTCCCGGGCAAAGCAGTAATCCTTCACACACATCTGCAGCTCATAGGTCTCGGGACCCTCTTCATTTCCTAGAAGGCTGAAAATGTAGGAGAGAAGATGATAGGGTGCTTTCAGAGCTGAGTCCTCAGTGGAACTCACCCCAGCCAGTCATCCAGACCACCACTCTTCTCATCTCTCCCCCATCACATGACCTCCATCCCACAGTCCTACAGGCTCCCCACCCGTAACTTACAAGTGGAATGTCTCGTTGTACTTGGGAGCCCAGTTGTTGCTTTTGGACTTGGTCGTGAACTTCCTCTTCTTATCGCTTTGGTGTGGGCCAACCATGGTCACTTCCACAAAAGGCCGGAACATACCTGCTGTCTGCCACTTGAGGTCATTGGCAGCCACAACTATCCAAAAGTGGGAGAGGGCTGAGCTGGATGCCTGGCATGCACAACCCTTGCCCTCAGGTGGTAAGTGAGGTCATGGGCAACAACAGGACAGATCTCTAAGGGGCACCACTCACCTTTCACTGTGACCTTGTGTTCCCCAGTACCAGGGTGTGTAAACAAGTCCACCTGAATAGAGACTTCTCCCACAGGATCATCCACACCAGACCCTAAAACAGATGGACAGGGAAGTGCTCAGTGGAAAACTCTTAGGACTAATTGTTTCAGGTAAAACCGAGGGGTTAGGTGGCCACCATCCCACATACAGGAAGCAATCACCCACAATAGCCATAGGGAAGGGAGCAATGGGAGGAAGGAAAGAAAGGGGACAGTGAATGTGTATGTAAAGTGAGCAGAAGGCAAACGCATCTTCGGAGAAACTTCCTCCAAAGATGCACTGTGAATCTCCCAGCATCCCCAAACCTCTCCCATCTCCTAGGCTGAAGAATTTTCATTGTATGTTGAGGAGCACAAGGCTGTGATCCTGTGTCTGTGCCTGGGAATTATGTCCAACCTTTGGGGTCTCTGAATGGAACACTGTTGGTACCTCTTTAGGCAAAAGCAGCAACCTCCCACCTACCCCCCGGATTCCTGGGCCCCGTGTGTGGCAGGCCACTTTCCTTGGGAAGACTCTGTAGTACTAGTCTCTAAAAAGAGCCAACCTTCAGTCTCCCCTCAGCAGAAACCCCAGCCTATTTTGAGAGAATATCACTTCCCTGCACTTCAGATAAAACTTCTTTGTCTGAGGTGTATGACTGTATGGAGAAGTGAAATTCTGAGGACAGAATGAGGGTCAACAGCAGAATCCTTCCTGGGCTAGAGGAACACATTGCCCATGTCCCAGACCTGGGATAGAGCTTCTGAATTTTGACACCTAGTTCTACCACCCCCAGCACGAGCCCCTCATTTTGGTTCATCAGGCCTCACTTCAGTCAGCACTCGGCCATGTGTAGCATTTAACATACCCTTTTCCGGCTGAATGTCCTCATTAGCAGTAAACCTAACACCTTTCCCATCATGCACTGAGTGAGGACAGGCAAGTGAAGAGGTAGCAGCGGCAGAACAGAGAAAAGAAGAACTGTTAGAGGTCAAAGGAGTTGCAGCCATTCAAAGCAGCACTACACTTCCTCTAGAGGAGCACAGAGCTGGAGCAGGGTGAAGTCTAAGAGCAGAGGTCAGTACCTGAATGCTCCTTATTAGACTTCATGGGTCAGAGATCAACCAAATCATGGGCAGACACCATAGAATACACAGAGAAGGGCAAAAGGGAGGCGCTAGTGTACTCTCCTAAGCCCTTATGTGACCCCCTCGCAATAGAAAATGAGCCCCAGGCTTGTCTTCCCTGCAGGTACACTTCTGATCTTACCGCCTCTGTGCCCCTTCCAGCCTCTCCTCGGGTATTTGGTTTTGTACTTTGTTTTTTTAAAGTGGCACCAGGGCCTTCACACAGAGTTAGGTCTCCAGTCCTTTTTATTTTTTATTTACTATTTTATTAGTCACTGAGTTGCCTAGGCAAGGCTTGACCCTAAGAAGTCTCCTACCTCACCTCTCAGCATGCTGGATTACAGGCTTGCGCCGCTATGCTTGGACCCTTCGCTTTTATCTAGTTTCCAGCTCAGTGCTTCTGAGAAGCCTTTCAGTTCTCCCCTAATGTTACAGGTCTCACATGTACTCAGCTCTGTAAAAGCTCCCCCTGCCCACTTCAGTCAGACTCACTGTTATTTCTTTTGCTCACATTCCCCACCCTGAACCGAAAATAAGGAGAGATAGAAAATGCTGTAGGTCCCCTCCAGATCCTTATCTCCTGTCAGCTTTCATTTCTCCTCTGTCAGCTCTGCGCCCGGTCCACAGCTCAGTAAGACCCAAACCGCCTTCTCATCCTAACAGATTCTTGCCCCTGGGCAGCCTGTCCAGGTTTCTCTGGAACAAACAGTAAAAATGTGCCCCAAGGTGCCTTCTGGGAGGGCCTGCTCTAGGATCAGGTCAAAATTTCAGTCTAAGCTGCATCTGTGTAGGTGAGTGTTGGTGTGGACAGGCATTAGCTAGAGACAGTGAGTTCTGAGGTCTGGAAATCCCTGAGGCTGAGGCCTCCACGATGCATGGTGCCCCAGATCCTCACCTCCCTTTAAGCTGCTTCCATGGTATACTTCTCTTAGTCTTCTTCTGGTCCACACTGTAAGTGTGGAAATGGTTTTGCTTTCTCTCCCCAGGACAACTCCATCCAGCAATGGCTTCCTCACAGATGCCTCCCTGTTTTCCCCCTTCTCAGACATAGTACACTCCATGAGCTAAATAAACACTGATCAGGAAACGTCTGGGAAAAAGAAACCTCAGGCACAATTTTCAGGCTCTTTTGATTCTCCTGCCTAGTACCATGGGTTGGGGTTAAGAAATGAAGTCTCTTCAAAGAACACTGAGATCCAAGTTTGAAAGGGCTGGAAGATACTGACTCCCTACTGGCATACGCCTGTGGGAGGGGAGAAGATGGGACACATTACCCTGGGCAGTCTGTGAGCGCACAAAGGTCTTGATGAGCGTGTCTGTGGTCTGTGTGTACAGGGACAGGGCATAGCGTAAGGACTGCAGATCCGGACTCTTCTCTAAGAAGGTCTTCTTTAGCCCATTGCCTCCTGCATGGAAGTATTGCTGAAAAACAAATCAGTACCTGCGTCACCCACTCACAGACAGGCCACTCCCCAACTACTCTCAGAGAAGCCAGGAGAGATCCCTCATCTAGAACACTCACAGAACAAGTCAGTCTCTCAGGCAAAGCACATGATTGGGCATTGGCAGGAGCATGGGGAAAGGTCACATTCATGGCAGTGGGAAGTTTGAAGGAAGGGTCTATCTAGTCAGGCAGAGGTATGCGACAGCAGCATTCCAGGCAGGGAGAATGGCCAAAGGTGTACTTTTGTCCCTCTGAACCACGGGGAACTTGGTGGCTGGGACAT